CTCCGGGGCTGGGGGAGAGGAGAGTAAGTTTTCCTGGTTGTGCCCAGAGTGGCCACCAGGGCTCCCTGGGAAGGGCTGGAGGCCCCCTATTTCTAATTAAGTGTCTACACAGCACTTAATTCAAAATAGCTATTTTGAATTTGGTGTTACTCCTCGTAGAATGAGGTTTACCAAATTCGAAATAAGGGCTCTACTATTTCGAATTTATTTCAAAATAGCAGTTTGCCTGTGTATATGCTATTAAAGTTAATTCGAAATAACTGCTGTTATTTTGAATTAACTTTGTAGTGTAGACATACCCTAAATGACTTACATTCCGACGTGAAAGTGGCGTTTCTGCCTCCCAACACCACCTCTGTTCTCTAGCCCACGGACCAGGGGGCCATAGCTGCTTTCAAAGCATATTATCTTCACAACACATTTGCAAAGGCAGTAGCTGCCACAGAATGCAAAAACGTCAAAACATTACGTGAATTTTGGAAGAACTACAACATTCTGCATTGCATAAGGAACATTGCTGCAGGGTGGGAGGAAGTCACTCCACAATGTCTGAATGGCACATGAAAGAAAATCCTAAAAAGATTTGTGAACTGTTTCAAAGGCTTTGAAAAAGAAAAGGCACTGGAAGACATTTCTAATAACATTGTACAGCTGGCGAAAGAAGTGTATCTGGAAATGGATATTGAAGACATACACCAATTGGTTGAGGATGTTGGGGAGGAGCTGAGCAATGAAGGTTTAATGCAGCTCGAAGCAGAGAGGGTAGCAGAGGAAGAGAGACAAACAGCTCAAAAAGAAGAAAAAGAAGCCCCCAAAAACTTTGTGATTAAAGAAATGGCTGCAGCTTTCAGCAAAATAAATGAAAGAAAGCAAATTTTTGGAAAAAATGGACCCTAATGTTGCAAGACTCTCAAAGGTGGATCGTTTAATTCAGGACGCCCTGGCTTGCTATAAGGAAATTTATAATGAGAAGAAAAAACAAATTGTCCAGTCCAAAATGGATATTTTTATAAAGAAAGCCCCCAGCAGTGCTGCCTCCCATACTGAACCAATGCCTTCTACAAGCAAAGGAACTGCTGAAATAGAATCTGTAGATGATGCCGATGATGTTCTTACTGTAGTTCTTTACTCCTCCGATTCCTCATCCAATTAATTCAATTCACATTACTGTATTTAAATTACTGCGTTGTGTTTTATATTTCATGTTCATGTTTGTTAAATAAAGTTTGCTGTTGTTGTAGTGTTGTTTTTTTCGTGTGTTTCTATTTTTCGTTGTTGATTGCTGTGTTGTTGGTGCTTGGTTATGCTTCGAGTGCTTCGTATGGGGTATTTCCGACTTACGAACAAAGGACTGTAACCTGCTCGTAAGTCGGGGAACGGCTGTAGTTAGGAAACATGGTTATTTTGATTCCACGGTCCCCTTGTGGTCCCTTCAGAGTACCTATGTTATCTAAAAAACAAAAGACACACCATTTCATAATACTAATAATGATCTGGCTATAATGGGCCCATATACAATACTTTGGTGTTTGTTTTGGTGTTAACTTCAGCTGCAATGGAGTTATGCTGACCAAGTGCTGGAACAGGGGCAGTGAGTCCAGTGTCAGCATGGAAGGCCATGGCCCACATATGCATTATCTATAGAGTCTGAGAGTGGACCTCTGTGTCCATTTCTAGAGAGTGCAGATTCTGCCTCCTTTGTCTTCTTCAAGGTTTTCTACCTCCCTTTCCTCACCTATGACTAGAGGAAATATGGCCTGGAATTTGATCCACAATTGTCAGAGATGAGTAGAATTCCATTTGATATATGCGGGTAATGTCTAGGATTTAAAGTGCTTACAGACTTGTTTAACAATCAAACATACCCAGATAGGATTAAAAGAAAAATGTTCTTTAAGAAAAGGCTATCTTCCTAACAATGTCAACTGCACCAAAGATATTTCCTTATCTCTCTAGGTAAATAATTTCTGTTTCTGTTAAGTACTGTAGAGAAGAATGTTGAGCAAAGAATATTTCTGTCAAATAATTCAGTGAATCACTTCACTTTAAGAAATGCCTGAAGTGATATTGTCAATACCCAGTGATTAGAAGATGGTTGGACAAACCAGTAAAGGATGAATGAAACCTCAAAAAAGAGCTCAACAGCAATGGAACTTTGAGCTGCTGCTTTACCACAGAAGACTTGATCTTCAGCTTCACTTACTGTTCATATCTACAATTTGAAACATCCTGCTTCCACTGAAGTCAATGGCAAAACTTACACTGGCTTGCATGGAAGCAGACATAGATCCTATTTTAGTATTTAATTTACAGTTACTCCATTTAGCTTTTTGATAGCAAACTTATAGTGTCTGGTAACAGGAAATATTAAGGAGTATTTTCTAATAAGAATACTCATATTTTAGCTAAGAAGTATGTAATTTACAAACAAAAATTGTTAATTTACATTTAGAAATGCAAAATGTCCCTCCTCCTATTTTGGTGAAGTTGAATTTATTTTTTGTACCTTTTGTTTGATTTTAATATATAATATTCTTAATTTTTTAAAGCCAAAGCCAACTGAAACTGTCACAACTGATGAGTCTGGGGTAAGATTAGTAAACTGACCCCAGTGGTTGTATCTCTACTTGAGTTTATTCTTTTTACCATGTCTATACTTCCACCAATTTTTCTGTATTTTTCATAATTGTCCTACTAGCAAGGTGTATGCAGTGGTCTGCATTTGTTGTCAATGTACTATTGAACTACAAATGAACCCGACATGATCCTATTAACAAACAAGGAAACTTGGAAATGCATGTGATGTGTGAAGCATTTCTATAGGTCCTGTGTTCTTAGCATGTAATTTTTCCTTTCATATCATGCTTATAAAGATGAAAAGACCCTAAAGTACATTTCAATTCTTACCTTTTTCACCATTGCATTTGTTGTTATTTTTCTGAAAGTGTTGCATGTTCTGCTTTTTATTTGGTTTCACTTCTCCGTGATACCCTTCAGAATTCTGAAGACAGCGCTAGAATCTCCATCACTTTTTTCCGTCTCTTCCGGGTGATGAGATTGGTAAAGCTTCTCAGCAGGGGTGAAGGAATCAGAACTTTGTTGTGGACTTTTATTAAGTCATTTCAGGTGAGCATGATAATGTTAACTCTGTGTTTTAACTGTAAATAAATCAAATATAATTGTTATGGCTTGGATGCAAGTAGCACAATATTGTTATTGGAATTATATGTTACCTTTAATTACATGGAATTTAAAATATATTAGATCTAATCCTGGCCTCACTGAAGTCAATAGGAGCTTGCTATTTACTTCAGTGTAGCCAAGATTTTACATTTTGTGTCGTAATCTTAGCTTTTACCACACAGTCTATAAACATCACATTGCTTATTGTAGAAGTGACTTTGTATTTCTAAAGATGGGTACTCATACAACTGCATACTGAGGCTACGTCTAGACTGAAGACTTCTTTTGGAAGAAGCTTTTCCGGAGGAGATCTTCCAAAAAAATTTATTCTGAAAGAGCGCGTCCACACTGCCAAAGTGCATTGAAAAAGTGATCTCCTTTTTTGAAAGATAGCATCCATACTAAATGGATGCTATCTCACATTTAAACTATGATTATTATGGATGGAGTGGCACCTGTGCTTTTTCCTCTTTCCTTTTCTTACAAAAGAACTCCCTCTTCCCCATCCACACATGCCTTTTTCTGAAAGAGCTCTTGTGGAAAAAGGCTTCTTCCTCGTAGAAAGAGGATTACCAATGCCAGAAAAACCCTTCTGTTTTTTTGATTCTCTTTTGAAAAAACGTGATTGCAGTGTGGACGTAATTGAAGTTTTTTGGGGAAAACAGACATTTTTCAAAAAAAACCCTCTGTAGTGTAGACATACCCTGAGTTATGTATGACGTATTTATGTAGGCCATGTTCACATACAGTATACATAATTTATGCTAGGTGATTACTAGGGCCTGTTGGGATCAGAAGTTCCCAGAGGGGTATGAACATGTCTTCAAATACTTTAATTGGGTGATTGTGTAAAAGACGTATTTACCCCTCTAACAGATAGATGTCTAAAATCGTGAAATTGCAAATACTAATGCACATGAAATCAGTTGAATTATTGACACACATAATATTAAGGGATTTAAAAACAATGAACAGTCCAGTGGCTCCTTAGGCTGTGTTAGATGAAGAAGTTGCTCACCTTCATGCAGTAACGATGGTTCTTCGAGGTGTGTCCCCGTGGGTGCTCCACGTCTGGTGTTGGGCTCGTCCCGGCGCCGCAAATCTGAGGCTTCACATAGCTGTATTCGGCTGGACCACGCATGCGCGAGCGCGAGCACTCGAGACCATTCGCTCCTTTCCTCTCTGCGCACGATCCAGCCCCCGCTCTAGTTCTTCTCACCGCCTTTTCCGAAACGAGAGAAACAGATGAGATTCCGTAGCGTGGAGGAGGGTGGGTCGTGGAGCGCCCACAGGGACACACCTCGAAGACCCATCGTTACCGCACGAAGGTGAGTAACTACTACTTCTTCTTTGGGTAGTGCCCATGGGTGCTCCACGTCTGGTGACTCCAGAGCAGTGGTCCGAGCTAAGGTTGGGCTACGGAATCACAGTTGTGGCAGCGTTGGAGTACTGCCGAGGCTACAGCGGAGTCTGAAGCGGAGTGTTGGGGTATGTCTACACTGTCACCCTAGTTCGAACTAGGGTGGCTAATGTAGACATTCGAAGTTGCAAATGAAGCCCGGGATTTAAAGATCCCAGGCTTCATTTGCATCTTGCCGGGCGCCGCCATTTTTAAATCCCCCTTAGTGCGGACTCCGTGCCCGCGGCTACACGCGGCATTTATAAAGTACCACCTTTAAAAAAATATTATAAGTACCCCCAGTACCTACAGTTTTCAGACACACAAAATTTTTTTCTACCATTGCAATATATTTGTTTAAAATCTTAATCATAGCTGGGTGGGCAACTAAATTTTTGGGTGTAAAAAGTACAAAAGTAATAAAGCATTGTAAAAGTTAAAAAAATCAGTTTTCTCCAAATTTCAGTTGTATTGACATACCCCCCAAACTTCTCTCAAGTACCCCTAAGGGTACTCGTACCACTGGTTGAGAAACACTGAGTTAGAGGAGTCTAGATGGTGCTCTCACTTACGACAACAAGGGTATGTCTACACTACCACCCTAGTTCGAACTAGGGTGGTAGTGTAGACATACCCTTGTTGTCGTAAGTGAGAGCACCATCTAGACTCCTCTAACTCAGTGTTTCTCAACCAGTGGTACGAGTACCCTTAGGGGTACTTGAGAGAAGTTTGGGGGGTATGTCAATACAACTGAAATTTGGAGAAAACTGATTTTTTTAACTTTTACAATGCTTTATTACTTTTGTACTTTTTACACCCAAAAATTTAGTTGCCCACCCAGCTATGATTAAGATTTTAAACAAATATATTGCAATGGTAGAAAAAAATTTTGTGTGTCTGAAAACTGTAGGTACTGGGGGTACTTATAATATTTTTTTAAAGGTGGTACTTTATAAAAAAAGGTTGAGAAACACTGCCCTAAGGGTATGTCTAAACTACATACCTCTTTCAAAAGAGGGATGTAAATTAGACAGATCAAAATTGCAAATGAAGCTGGGATTTGAATTTCCTGTGCTTCATTTGTATAATGGCGGCCACATGGTCTTTTGAAAAAGGGCTTTTCGAAAGTAAAACTGCTGTCTAGATGCAGTTCTTTCGAGAAACAAATCTTTTGAAAAAGTGGTGGGATTTTTTTTGGAAAGAACCGTGTCTAGACGGCAGTTTTACTTTTGAAAAGCTCTTTTTCGAAAGACCATGTGGCTGCCATTATGCAAACGAAGCACAGAAAATTCAAATCCTAGCTTCATTTGCAATTTTGATCTGTCTAATTTACATCCCTCTTTCGAAAGAGGGATGTAGTTTAGACATACCCTGACTGACACCGTGACTAAAGTTTCAGCTGGTCTGCTCTGAGAATCCAGGGAATCCCTGACTGCCCCTATCCCTTTTCTGGATGTTGAGCAGATTTTCCAACAGGAGAGATTCTGAGCTATAAACTCTAATAATGTGCCTGCTGTATATGGAAGAATATTAAATTATTTGAGATCCTTTTTCTGATATTTTAATAATTTGTATACCAATTACAATCTTGGTGAAATCTGTGTAGAAGGGCTTAATTCTAAAACAATAAGGCTTCACAAATTGAAATTATTAAAATGGCTTTTCTCATTGTTTTAGGCTCTGCCATATGTTGCTCTTCTGATAGCTATGCTGTTTTTCATCTATGCTGTTATTGGAATGCAGGTAATTATGAAAAGTTTTCCCTCAAGATGGGTATATTGCCACACTTCCACTGCGGGACTGTTCTTTCCTGTGAAACTGGGGTTCTGCCCTTGACAATAAAGACATTAGGCGAATTCATGCATCTCCAAAGGATAGAAGAGGAAAGAGGGCAGCTCCCAGTCAAGTTAGGCTGGGATGAGCAACATCCTATATGGAGTGGCTTTCTTTTCCGATTCTCCCCTTCACCTGGATTCAATTCCCTTTGCTGCCACTGACTGACTATATGATTTTGGGCAAATTGTTTAAACTCCCTAAGCCTCTGTTTCTTGCCCTGTGTCTGGCTTCTCTATTTAGATTGTATAGTCTTCAGGGTATTATATCTTAATATGAGTACATGCAACACCAAGCACAAATGGACTCCAAATCTGAATTGTGACCACTAGGTTCTTCTGTAATATAAATAATACAGAAAACATAATCTCATCCAGAACAAAGGAAGATGCATAAAATGTATAATAACAAATTCAGTAATGTTGCACTGCATGTTTAACTAACTGCTCTGTAAATATGAAATAGTTACTGCGTTTTGTAGGATTTGCATTATTACAAGGAAAGAACTGAAGAAATCAGAGGAAGCAATTGTCACATCTGTAAAACCATTTTTCATACATAGAGATGCTAATTTAAAATACTGGTTTATGGTCATAGCTCATTTAAACAAAATTATATAGAATTACATAAAAAATAATATTTGATCCCAAATTTTGCCTGCAGGTATTTGGTAAAGTTGCTATGAGGGACAATAATCAAATTAACAGAAACAACAATTTTCAGACTTTTCCTCAAGCAGTCTTGCTTCTGTTCAGGTACGTATATTTTAATCTGCACCACTACCAAAGTAGGACTGTAGCTTTTTGCTGAAATTTCACTGTAAGGATTTTGATTACATAAAAAAGCCAACAAAAGATTTTCCAATATGCTAGATGTACTCAAGTAATGATATTTCTATGGTGCTACCTCATTAACTTTGAACAATGAAGGACCTTTGTTTAAGATATAAGGAATGTCCAAGTTATTACATAAGAATGTTATGTGACAGTTATTTAGATACAATATCTAATGTTTCCTGGTCAAACCCTTTTTGCTAAAATGTTTCAGACAATAAGAACAACCTTCCTTCTGTTTTAATTGAAATCACTTAAAAAGCTGAGGACCATTTGAAGACCTCAAGTGGGGTGAAGGGCCTAAAGTTTATTTGTGCTAACCCTACAAACCGCACTAGAAATCACCAGCCACAAGTCATGCTAAGTAACTCAGTGAAACCCAGAATTACATTTCCAGAAGGGAAATGAAAAACACTACTAAGCAGTTTGGCAGTTCTGTCTTATGAGAAAAAATACCTCCCAGAACCCACAAACATCTAAAGCAGAAGTTTTCAAACTCTGGAACATCTCCCTTAGGGGACACTGAGGAAAGTCCAAGGGGCTGAAAGATGATGTCGGACCCGCATGACAGGGGTCAGGGATGGAGCACAACCTCTGCTCCCCCTCCTCCAGAGTTCATACAACAGGGTACCCAGCCTGTGGATCAGTATCAACATCTGCTGCAGATGCATCAATTTACTCTGCCGGCAGCCTCCACACTCAGCACTGGCTCCACCCTCAGAAACCATTGCACATGTCTTCTCCTTCCCGAAAAGCTGAGGGGGACAGGTATTGTGTATATTTTTGTCTAGAGTGTGGGGTACTTAGCTCAAAATATATAATTGTAATTCAAAAGGGGGGCTTAGCTTAAAAAGTTTGAAAACTGTAGATCTAAGGAGGGGCTGGAAAAGGGTATCTCATATTGGCAGCCCATGCCTGGGAAGCCACGCCAGCTTGTAGTTAGGGGATCCAGACTATCACCCATCCACCTCTTGAGAACTCCAATAGCAATGGGATGGGTAGGAAAAAAAGTGTATTCTATGTCAGCATGCAACTCCCCCCACAACAAAGTGTAGCTCCATACACACCTGAATGCATTGGGTGAAGACAAGAAGGATGCTCCCCACACCTGCAGGCCCTTTAACTCAAACGGAGTATTTTAGTTGCCGACTAGTCTCATCAAAGCTCCACTCAGATTAGCAGATTTGGACAAACTACCATAACATTGTTAAGACATTATTTGAAAACCAACAGATCCATGGTCTAGTGCCTTTTGTCTCCTTTTGCACTGTCGAATGATAGAACATCTTTGCTAATCTAATGTATTTATCCAAATAGTCTATCTCTAACCCTACCATTGATATTGTAACACTTGGCCTCTTTGGGTTATTAATAAGCTTTGGTTTCTGGTCTGATTTAATTTTTTTCATATGTTTCATTTACCCCATGGGCTTTTGAGGTTAAAGATATGCTACACCATACTAAAAAGGAAGGAGGTGGGTGGCGTCAGTCACAGCCATGTAACCCCTTAGTTATTGTTTGGGATTCCATTGGAATGACAGAATGGAGAATATGGCCCATCAAGAAAACAACCTATTTGAAGCAAATTACCAGCAGATGGGCATTTTGGTGGGCCTGCCATAAATAAACCACATTTTCAGGCACAAATCAAAAAATTGCAATCACAAACAAATTACTGTAGCTTTGCAACGGTCAGTTATCTTTACTCATTTAGCATGCACAAATATGTGTTAGCCTCCCCACCTTTGGAAAATGTTGTTAATCTAGAATAAGAGTATGTATAATGAATGCTATATATGGTGTCCTGTCCGAAAGGGCCAGCCTCTTCCAGCCTTATCCTCTGTCTTCTCATTCAAGGAGCTTCTCTTATGCCAATCCTGAACACGAGTGTACAAGAAACTCTTTCACCAAAGTGATACATATGGGGAGAAGCAACTGATCTATTAGAAACAAAAATAAACAGATGAGAGAGTCCAGTCCTACAAATGTAGGTTAGCATAGTGCTTCCAACTATAAGTATGTCTCACATGACCTCAGTGAGACAATTCAAGGTAGTAAGCACTATGCAAAGAGTATAGACTTCATGGTTAACTGGTCAGCCTTAGGACCTCACCTGGCTCTTGAACATTCTAGAATCCATATTGCTTGGAGAGAGATATGATTAATTTTTCCTCAGAGACCAAATGTTCCACTTGAGGGGCTAGCTATGGGAGGACTGTAGGGTCAATTCTATGGATCACAAGTAAGTGGGTTATACAATTGCCTATTATTTACCCTGGGGACCTCTTTGGCTCAGAAACCTGACTTCTGGGGAGGAACATACAAACACAGACTTTCAAATATGTATGCAGTTTTTCATTAACTACACCAAATAACTAAACAAAAGCATCAAAATACATAAAACATAAAAGAAAATGGGTTAGTATCAAATTAATCTAATTATCAGGTTGTAGGGCAGCTGACAGACTTTGCTGGGCCCTGCGCAAGATAGATCAGGGCTGTGTCCAGGCCCTGGGGCCTTTGTCCAGGCCCTGGGGCCTCTGGAGGGGGTGGAGCCTAGGGCAGAAGAGGCAGGGCCTTAGGGGCTAGCTTCCCTCAGCTAGCTCTTCAGTCCCACTCAATATGCACCAACCAGAACTCTGGCAATGATTTAAGGGGCCCAAGCTCCAGTCACTGGATTGAGAATACAGGCAGTCCCCGGGTTACGTACAAGATAGGGACTGTAGGTTTGTTCTTAAGATGAATTTGTATGTAAGTCGGAACTGGTACATATTGTAGGGGAAACTCTAGCCAAACATTTCTCCAGAGCTCAGTTTTATTCTCCCACACCTCACTTCCCTCAGTCCTTTATTCTCAAGCTGAGGTGTCTGCTGAAAAAAGCCACTCCACGTCTCCCTGGTCTACTGGAGGGGGGGCACTAGCTTCGCGTCTCCCTGGTCTGCTGGGGGAAAGCAGCTAGTGCGGGGTTGCCTCACCCCGTTTGTAAGTAGGGATCCGATGTAAGTCGGATCCGTGTAACCCGGGGACTGCCTGTAATGGGGAAATCACAGCTTTGATGTCAATTAAAGCTCCTGCTGACATTATTGGTGGTTAGATGTTAGCCAGCCTCTTCCGCCTCCTCTGACTCCAATAGAAGGGCAACATGAAACATTCCAGTACAGTTCAAGAAGACAGAACTTACTGCATTCATTATTCAAGTGACAAATTTAGATGAAATTAGCATAATTTCTCAGGATTTAACATGCAACTTTGAACCCATAATATATATTTCTGTGTGATCTTTTAAGGGTATCATCAACACTTTTAGCTTCAGGTGGGATCCCAGCTCAAGGAGACATAGTCATGGTAGCTGTCTTCCAGCTAGCATGCTAAAAATAGAATGTAGCTGTGGCAGCATAAGCAGTGGGTTGGTCTAATTGCCTAGGGTCTTAGATGGGTACATAGTCGGGCAGCTAACTCATCCCACCGCTCACACTGCTGAGGCTACATTCTGCATTTTGCTTGCTAACTCAGTGAGAGCTAATGCCAGCACATCTTCTCAAGCTGGAAATCACACCAAATGGAGTGTAGAAATACTCTTAGAAAGCAAGATTGCTTTTAAATATTGAAAAATTATCCCACAGGCACCATTTTCAGATAAATTCTGTGGATTCTAGTTGTGTGCATAAATTCTACACTACACTATCAGCCAATGCTGAGGGAAAGCTCATTCTGAAACAGTACTTTTTGGTTGATCTTGTCTTGTTTTTGCTCTACTAAAGGTGTGCAACTGGAGAAGCGTGGCAGGAAATCATGCTGGCTTGTTTGCCTGGAAAACGCTGTGATCCAGAATCTGATTATAGTCCAGGGGAAGAATTCACATGTGGAAGCAACTTTGCAATCATTTATTTTATAAGTTTTTATATGCTTTGTGCATTTTTGGTGAGTCTAGTTACAAGCAAAAGTGAGTTTAAGCATTCTGACTGGATAAAAAATTTACAACAAAAACCAAAATCCACAATTCATTTTGTAAAATATTTTTTCAGGGTTATATGTTTCTTAAGGACACCTGAATCCTTTAGTTCAAACTAAAGGCCCAATGCTACCAGCAGTTACAAGCATATACAGTAAAAGCTCTGCTATCCAGCATGTTGCAAGAATGGGGGGTGCCAGTTAATCAAATATTCTGGTTAACTACGAGTTATACTTTACCAAAGGAATATCCATTTTCAAAGAATTAGTCCACAATAAAATGAATAAAGTACAAAATAGTGTAAAGGTACTCACCAGTCCAGTAGTAGTACTACACTGCATTGAGTTGGAGACATTGAGGGTATGTCTATAGTGCAGCTAGGAATGAGCCTTCCAGCCCAGGTAGACAGAGATTTATGGTTGTGGGGCTTGAGGTAGTCTACTAAAAATAGCAGTCGGGGTGTTGCAGCTTGGGGCAGAAGCACAACTTTCAAGTCCACCTGTACACCTAGAGTTGAGGGCCCAAGCTCCAACCTGATCTGCAATATCTAGAAAGCTATTTTTAATATGATAGCTACAGTCCCTCTAGTGTGAGTAGTGTGAGTCTGTTTACCTGTCTAGACATAATCTGAGACAATGTGGTCAGCATAATCAGCTGTGGTATCAGCTCACAAGCAGGCTAACCGTTATCAAGGCTTTTGTAGGCCTCATAGCAAAGTAGAATTTTAAGGAGGCTTTCCAAGGAGGCTAGTGAGATGGCTTTCTGGGTGTTGATAAACTTCTCCCTGGCATGGGAGAAGGAACAAGGATGCTTATTTGAAAATGTAACAACTGGGCAATAGAGAGTGACGTGATGGGCCAATCAGAGGCTGGAGTTGACTTTCAGTACTGAAAGAGCGATTCTAAGTAGTGTGTGAATATGTTATGAAGGGCCTTCGAAGTAAAGGCAAGTAGTTATTGTTTGATATAATTGAGAAGAGAAAGACAGAAAAGCAATGCAAAGAGAGAGGTGACATGGTCAAAGCAAATGGAAATGATCATTTGAAAATGATCCCCATAGCAGTATTCTGAATGGGTATCAGCAGGGCAAAAATGAGTATGTTACATACAAATAATAAAAAATAACATTATACTTACTGAAACAGAGTAATATTTATCAAATCTAGTGTCTACTAATAGTATTTAATCAATTTGAATTCTAACTCCACTGAAAGTTTAAAGCTATTCTTTCATACAAACACATCTTCCAGCAGAATGAAGGCAAATATGTGTTGAATTGCTTTTTAGATTATCAATCTATTTGTGGCTGTCATCATGGATAATTTTGATTATTTGACACGCGACTGGTCTATTTTGGGTCCACATCATTTGGATGAATTCAAAAGAATATGGTCAGAATATGATCCTGAAGCAAAGTAAGTGAGATGATTTCTCTGGCCAAATATCACTAATGAATATATAAAATTAGAGTGTGAAATACTTTCTTTAGAGGCACATGTGACACATAGTATGTATCTGTTGTAGGGGAAGAATAAAGCATCTTGATGTGGTTACATTGCTGCGGCGCATTCAGCCTCCGCTTGGTTTTGGCAAATTATGCCCCCACCGAGTGGCATGCAAGGTAGGTCTTAAAATAGGTTCCTCTTGTTTTTCTCCATAGTTCATAATTTTACAGAATGCTCAATGTGCATTGCCATGATAATCCTGTCCAGTTTCATGGGTGTGGGATAAGATCCCTCTGATAAGCTTTGATCCATCACCAAATTACTCCAGTTTTACATTGGGTTTATTTGATCTATTCAAATCAGTTTGCATTTCAGGTAATTTATTTCAGTGTACAGGTTGGACCTCTCTGGTCTGGTACCCTTGGACCCTAACTGGTCCCAAATGAGGGAATTTGCTGGAGTAGGGGAGTCCCAAGCTACTGGCCCCCAGCCCACCTCTC